CTAACTTATCCAAGCAGTAATACTTTTCTTAGATTTGAGAAGCAGATATTCAGAAGAATTCCAAATAGTTTCTGTAGTTACATGTAAGCCTTGTTTGTAGTTTGCAAATCTTTGCTACCGGGTATGAAGGGATATCCTCACGTTAAAGTTCATCTATTAACGATAAAGCGATCAACCTTTTATCCAATTACTATTAAATGCGACGCGCCTTTACTGAGCAAACTTGCTAACATTTTGAATACTATAACTAATTCTACCTAAATTTTTATTTAATTATTTTTCTTGTTGTTGAATATTCAAAACACTACAAAAGTAAAAAAGTTATCGTGTTTTCGAGGATATAAAGAGATAAAAACTTCTTATATGAATAGTTTCAGATTTAAAATTTTTCTGTATTCACCACCAAAGTATAGAAATTTGTTAATTGTCTTATTTCATTTAAGTTAAAAAAAAAAGTTCAGTGAAAGTTTTGTCTTCTTGGTAAGGATTTGTTTGAATCAATGTTGTCGGACGTCTGCTCGCTTTTTTTTTTGTTAAAATATAGGCATAAATTATTAAAGAAAAGAGTTATTTTGGCACAATGTAGATGGGGTAAGGTTTCAACAAGAAAAAGTCAGCCCATAATAGTTGTTACCGCTTCTGTCGACTTTTTATTTAATATTAATTTTGCATGTGTCCTGTGACTATTATCAGTATTATATGGAAGTTAATTATGCTGTTGATTTACTGACTCGCGGAAGCACAAGAAAATGGCAGTTAATGTCGGACGATAGAGGTACGGAAAAATTGATTGAAAATTGAAAAGTATTTATTTTTACCAAATTTTAAATCTGTTGCAATAATTTCATACATCCGAAATCGGGTACAGCAATTATTTAAAAGCATCCGCGTCAACAGTACGACTACCGTCATAGTTGAGACTACCTTCAAATAGCGCAAAAGATTTCAACATCGGTTGGCATTAACATGGCCCATGGAATCGGCCCATTTACGCGGTTATTCATTTCTTCATGCATGTACCTTAGGTGATGAATGTACAAGATTCACTTCTAGGTGAATATAACTTTCTTACCTATGTTTTTGTTTTTGTTTTAATAACACTGAACACTTAAAGTAATTAACTTCGTTTTTTTAAGCCTAAGAATATTTGACATCAGTTTTCTTATAATTCGACATGAGATTGACATTCGACTTTAGACATGAGTTACATCATCTGGCGTGGTATCCAACTTATTGTCCGTTTTAGCCGTTTCATTGGGGACGTCCATTTTCACATAGCTATCTTCATTATTGCTGTGCGATGTTGTGGTTAATTGATCCTGATTGACTGCTGATAAAAGATTACTTTGACTGCATTTGGCATAGGGGTTTATTAGCAATTGATTTGCAAGCATAGTTTCAATATTGTTTAGGATGAGAGCGTGTTATATTCCGACAAAAGCAATGAAAGTATATTTTTTTCGTTATTTTTATTATTTTTTTTTTTTTTTGTAATTTCAAAAATGTCTCAACAACTTGAACTAATAAAGGAGGAAATGCTAAGAAGAAAGTGGTACAAACTTACTTATTACCGCCATTAATTTGACGAACTTTAGCGTTAACTGGTATAATAAGTTGTTCGGCAGTTAGGCCATCGTTATGGATTTGTTGCCATATGGTGGTACGTTGAACTTCTTGGGTTATATTAATTGGCACATTTGATGGTGCATTCATCGCGGTGGCTCCATTGGCCAACGGTATATGTATAGTGGTCGGGCCCGTTTCATTGATGGAATTATACTTTTTATCATTATCCATATGCGAATCCTTAAAATTAAACATTTTAGTTTTTCGGCAAAACAAATGCATTTGAGATGAAATTTGGTTTGGTTTTTGTGTGCTTTATCATTAGCTTACGTGTGTATACGGGTATAAAATTGTTGTTGTTGCTCTTGTGGTGGTGTATAAAAAAGGTGCTAATTAATTATAGGTAAAGAGGGAAAAAAAGCCTGAATAACTCAAAACCCATACTAAATTTTAATAAAAAAAAAAAAAAAAAAAGAAAACAAAAAAAACTTGGACGGGAAAACAAAATTAATAAAAACTCCTAATATTAGATGGTCTAAAAAGTTTTGAGCTTTTAAAAGTATCTTTTCCATTATTTTTTTATTTCATAGCTGCGTATTATGTTATTAAGCTCAATATTTTTTAGACAATCTATTATTTAGAATTATAAATTAACAAACGTTAGTACAATGTATGTGTGTAGATAATGTTTATTAATTATTTTTTAAATTTATTCGTTAACAATTTATTAAATTAGGTTATAAAGCGATAAATACTTTTAGATCCAATGTACAATTTGAAAAAAAAAAAGTTACGTTATTTTTATAAAATTAGAAAATAAATGTTTTGCTCCTCATGTCTTTCAGGTGTACATTTTTCTACTTTAAAACGTTAATAATTCATATAAGTATTAAAATTTTTCTAAATGTTTATGTTTTTATGTGTTTTTTAGCTTCAGCGTAATAAGTTTTTTTTTTTTTTTTGCTAATATATCATTAAAGATATTAAATAATACGTATTTGTTTTAGGTACATTATTATATTGACTTTTGTCATTCGATTGATTAGTTGCTGGTCTTTATAACAATACCACACTTGAAAATTTTATTATAATCTGAAATTTCTATGTCAAAGGAAGCAAACAAAAAGACAATAACCAAATGTTGGATAACTATCATTAGGACAAAACTTGCATTAGTTTTGCATTGTAACCGTTTCGTACTTTAGCTGATCAAATTTGTGCTCGATACCTTCTGTGCCTCGTGAGTTATTTATTAATGAAAGCATAAGAAAATTTCCGTTGTTCTTCCAGTTTTTCTTTTTTTCTCGCCTAAGGTGAACTAGAGGCATTATCATGTAAAGGGCGAGGCTAGTTTCACATTTTGCAGAGTAAAAAAACGGTTGAAGAGCGAGAGAGAGAGAGAGAGAGAGAGAGAGAGAGAGAGAGAGAGAGAGGGAGAGAAAGAAGTTTCTCCTAGATATTTCTTAAGTCTTACCCTTTCCTCACATGCTGCGGCTGCCGGTTTTTTCAGTATCCTTACCATTTAAAAATCTTATGAAAAGATCCCCGTCGTCCCCGAGTGCCCGAGGTGATTACCTAATTTTCAATAACGTGCCGCTTCTAGTTATTATCTATGCTATCCGTATCGTCAGTCGTGGTTTCGGAGCAAATTGCATGAGTTGCGTAACATGCAGTTTTAAGGAGATAGCATCGTATGGTTTACACTAAGCGGAAAAACTATTGAGAAAGAAGTTTGTAGATGGGCTTAGTAAGAAGTCTTTCTGAGCTTAATTTTAGCTCTCGGGGTTGTTAAATAATGCCTTGCGCTAATCAAGAATTTTTACACTTTGTGGGATCTCTGCTAAGCATTTCTAGGTGTTGTAGATCGTATGCAGAAATTGTTGTACGTTTGTCTTTGGGGGTAGAGACAAAAAAATTTAGGTTTCACATGGGGCAGAAGCGGGCAGAACAATAGGTGCGAGGTATATTTTTCAGTTCAATGCGGTCAAGCATATCAGCCAAGACGTTAGACGAAAAGCGTAGAAATTTATCACATCACTAGATCGGTCATAAAACTTCGTCACGAATGCTTTAAAAATCGAAGAATAATAGCTAACAGGTGCTACGGGAGGAGCGATTTGAATGGAAAGTACAACAATTTCATATTCCGAACTTACTCGTAAAACTATATGCGAGGCACCTTGAGAGCCATTGTTGAATTGTGAAAAACAACAGACAATTGCTGATGAAGTTATGGTAGTATTCAAGGCCACTAAATCAATTATAAGCCGTTATATGACAAAAATGTCCAATCTTCGATATTTTCTGTTGACAATTGGTTGGTATTGTATTTGAATCAGGTGGGTCTCCCTGTTTTTTCGACTTTATCGCATACAAGAAATATCATGAAATGGTGATCTCTTCTAAGTCCACATATTTCATCAAACAATGTGGACAAAAATTAACCTTAAGAAGTTTCGATCGCAAAGATCTTTCTTTTAGACCTAACTTTATGTAGGGGAGCAAATGGAATATATGGAATTTGAATCACGTTACTTGCCATTTTATGTATCCTCCAATACATGGACCTTCATAAAAACGATATAAATTTTTTGATATTTTATCAGGAAGCAAAAAAAGGTATGACCTTGTGCGGTTATAGTGTTCTTACTTGCTTGGAAAACAAAACAATTGTGCTTTTACGACGCATAAGTTAATATTACCTTTAATAGAAGCACAGATGTTCCGTTGGATAATTTAGCAGATAAAAACTTTTCATGAAAATTCTTTTATAAATATTTTAAGTTAAAAAAAAAAAATGTTTTTTTCTTTTTAAAAAAAAAAAAGTTTTTACAATTTAAAACAAAAAAAAGAAAAAACAATTATAGCTTTTAGTATTTACATAGGGTGAGTAAAGGGCGGGCGTGTTCGATTATATTACAAAGTGCATGCTTTACAGTGGTGCAGAGAATTAAAACTAGTATCAGAAATTAATAAAATAAAATTAATTACAAAGAAAAAAAAAAAAAAAGTAAAGGAAATACTGTTTACCTTTTGAATAAGTTTTTAAAAAGGATGCATTTCGCTAAAGTGAAATAATAACAAGTGTTTACTATAGTGCTTAACACTAATAAGATAAAAGGGATAATTAATTAAAAATGTAAAACGAGTTAATTAAAAATATTAAGATTAGATATCCGTTAAGTGCAAGTGCAAGTAATTTGACGTATACTTGAGGGGGCGAGGGAGAGGTGCAGTGGGCATGCAAAAAACGAAAGTCTTCTCATATCTTAATTTTGATTATTTAGTTATTTTGCTCATCGCATTTTATCTATTTACGCAATAGACTACTCTGAGCTTCCAACTCTTTCTCATTGGCCTGTTTAAAGTTACAACTCATATTCATATGTAGTTTACTATTATTTTTAGAGGGTTTCTCGTTTTTGGTGTGGATGTTGTTGCTAGCAAATCTACCACCATCACCACTACCATTATTAAAATAAGCCAAAAATTTGCCAAATAATCCCACCTCAGCATCCAATTGATGCAAGTCATCGGCTGCAGCTCGTTTCGTTATTTCAGGCATAATATCATCTAAGATTTTCAATTCGCGTCGCGTGAAGACTAAATCTAAAGCTTTACGTATACCAATCATTACAACCAACATCAAAGGGAATAGAATGGAAGTCGACGAAAACGATTTAATTAACCATAACACGGCCAAACATGCCAACTGTATAAGGGTAAAGAGATGTACTCGTTTAATGGGTACCTGAAAATCGTAAGTTTTTATTACTACTATCCGGCAAAATATATGTAACTTGTACTTACTTGACGAAGGAACATGTAATCTGGTTGATATTTAGCCGGCATAAACATAATCAATATGCGATCGAAGAATTGAAGACCTTTAAGAGACGCTACGCCCATGTATAAGAAGACACCGAACAATACCGGCATCGGGATATGAGATAAAACCGGTGTCAGAAATACCGATATGCCGATCGTTAGGAAAATCAGTACATGAGTAACACGTTGCTCACGTACACCTAAAAATCGTGGCTTCTCGCCAGGTGCCGAACATTCGGATTCCAATTTCAAAGAATTGACATGGTTAATACTTAGAACGGTGGCCGCAACAAACCTTAAATGGAAAAAAAATGTATTAATCCATTTTGATGCTTGAACGCTCGATGACGGTATAGTTTTTCTTACCACGGCAATCCTAAGATGCTACAAATCTGTATTAAGGCCGACAAGATAAATAAATCTAAATGATAGCCACAACCCTTCTTCAATTTATTCTCTTTTCGATTCACAATTACTGCCGTAATCTGCTGATCCATGAATATTAGAATCGTGCCAAGCATGGCCGGTACTACGGCTGCTATACAGCTCCAGAAAGGATTGTTTTCAGTAAAAGGCGGTATAAACCAATTCCGCTCTGGCGAAGTTGGCTTTATATCATGAGGTACTTCTAATTTAGGCGTATCCACTTGCATCATATAATCAAGCATTGACATGCTAACTATGGCTATAATAACTGAAAAATCACTTATGTATTGCCGTACAACGGTGGGAAAGAATAAGGCATTTTTGAAATCTTTCAATATTGTAGAAATGATAAAAGTGCCCAGGAATAGTAGGACAGACATTAGGAAAACATTTGACGTGTCCGGCTTATCACAATCCAAGCCAATTAATGTGCCATTATTAGTCTTGGGGAAATTCAAATAATTAGTGAAAAAGTCACTTCGGTAAATGCGATTAACTTACCAAGCAATCTCCTTTTTCGTATCTAACGTAATCCAAAATGGTGGCATTATTGCCTGAGGGTGGTGTGCAAACGCAATCATACACCGGATGATTCACTGGATATTTGTGACCAATTTTTAAAACGTTTTCAATAGCCTGTAAAGTTCATGAAAAATGATAATGGGTCTGACGATAAATGGGTCTGATGTCTTAGGGAAGATCAGCAACAAGTAAATAATTTATTTAACATAAGCATTGTCTTCTGAAAGCTGATCCGATAAAGTTATTTTTTTCTTTTTATAACTCACATTACTTGATGCACAAAGGTGTATTATGTTTGTGCGTTTGTATACGTACAATATCCACAAGGACTTGAGATAGATTCCGAGAGATTGTACCGATCAATTCGGAATCACTTTCTGAATCGATTTAACCTCGTCCATCCGTCTGTCCGTCTTGTTTTTTATGTTGTTTTTTTTTTAATTTTTGTAATGTTTTGAGGAATGTGTTTTGTCCCACCCTGACGAATCCCGTTCGGATCGGATTCACTTTTTCAGCCGCTTCCCATGTAGCGGCTTATTTCGAAAAGTCTTCATATGAATAAATGTAGCGTATAGGGTATTTAATGGTCAGTCTTGGCCTTCTATAATGTTCCTGTTGACATATATTTTCAGTATAGGCATCGTGTTCACTAATCACATTGTCAGCAAATTTTTCCTGCTAAAAGCACTTGAAACTCTGGCAGAATATCAAAGCCGCTAATCGCTGCTGTCAGAATCGATAGTTTTCGTTGCACATTAATACAATTATATCACTTTCTTCGTCACAATGTTCATCGTCAATCCCTCCACTAATTTCTTTAGAATATTGTTAGGAAATTCTACGCCTCTAATCATTCTGGAAGAATGTTTAAATTGGACATGGAAAAGTCATAAGTTGCCATGTTATATAAAAAGTATGAACTGAGGGTTCATTGAGTGTCGAGTTGAACTACATCAATGCAATGAAGCGCATCTCGAGTTACTGACTGCAGTATGTTAAGTGGTGAGTTGAGTTCGAACGGCATAATTTGAAGTTGTTCGAGTTGTATTAGTGCCTTGAGCGGCGACTCGTGCTGCATATACACAATGATTGGCTCCTGGCGCAAATTAACGGACAGGTAAATTTGGTTCAGAAAATTGACCGCCAGTTGAGTTACCTCAGTATATCGATTTGCAACTCGAGATGCATCAGTGGTATGAGTGGTGCCTAAAGTTTTACAATTGGGTTGACTGAATGACGTACATTGATTCACAATTTCTGGGAAAGCAAACTCAAATGTTTATTTTAAAAGTTTCTTTTCTTTCGGGGAGAGTAATAACAAAATTTTCGGTTATGGAGTAAAAGCTCCCTACGCAATGTGTGCATCTTCCGTCTTATGAAGTTCAAGTGACTTTAGAATGGAAGCGTACTAATCGCGTACGGTGATTAGAGTCCGTTGATATTTCGAACAAAATCGGAGTATGTGTATATATCAGCTAACTCTTGAAAGCAGTTTGCTTGTTATACTATTTCTTGTACAGTATCTTACAGTATACTTGCTGAATCAACAAAAGCTTACAATTTTCGATTATAAACCTTTGCTTTTTATGAAGATTACTTTTTGGCTGATATTTGGTACCCTTTTTTATATCTTGGCCTTTACTATAAATTTATGTAGATTGGACTAAGAGATGTCTGCATGTCAATGCACTTTTTTGTTGAATGGGTTAATTCAACAACAACATCAATAGGGGACTTAGCGAAATTGAAAGCCCCGTGAAAGCATTTCCCGATTTTGTATTCAAAGTTGATTTTTATGCAAGTATATAACGAACGTGAAGGATCACCTTACCGTTATTAGCAGAAAAACTATTGAAAGGATGAAATTCTTACCTTATAAATGAAAATGAATGCGATTAATGTGGCGAAGTTCTCTTCAGTGAAACGTGTTATGTAGCAGACCAGAGCACTAGCATCTACGGCGCATAAGATCAGTAATATCACAGCTATCCAAGTGCCAATCCAGAAGCGGAATGTCATATAATCCCAGCCTTGTTTCTGACAGAAATCGTATACAATCGTTTCAAATACCAATACCGGTCCGGTTGAACCTAAGATGGTTAAAGGTTGACCCGAAAATAACCCATAAACTAGGCCGCAAACGAAGCCGGAAACTAATGACTCCATAGCAGCCATATTACGACCGGTAGCTTGCGATAAAAGTCCACCGAAAGTGATAATGGGAGATAGGCAAGCAAAATACAGAAAAATCCAAGAGGCCACACATTGCATGGAGAGAGCATCACGGAAGTCGGACCAGTACCACGGTATTTTACGCTTAAAATCATTATAAAGGCCGCCGAAAGGCCGACCTGATCTAGACAAACCAGCTTCTTCACGTAAACGTTGCTCTTCCTCTTCTTCATCAATTTCTTCTTTATGTGCTTCTGGCGGACGTTTTCGTATTTCTTGTGAGGGTACGGCAGCCGGTGGTTCAATACGTATGGTGGGATCCCATTCGCCAGGAGGTAATACTGTAACGGCATCCAAAAATTCATCAATGCCGGCTAACAGATGACCCCGTTTACGGGCACGATAGGCTACTTCATGGAAGATTTCATCGGACATTAGTGTCGCCATGGCGCGACCAATTTCATGGAAATTACTTTGACTACCGGGTGGACCCAATAAAATAAAAATAAATCTATTCGCAAAGGGAGAGAAGAAATAGTAAAAAAAAAAAATAGCAAAAGTAAAAAAAAAAGTTAAAACAATTCTCTGCTCATTTACCTGGTAGGTACTGGCACCTCTGTAAGGTCACCCATTAGGGATGCCTCTTTTAGGCGTATAAAAGCGGCTAATGGTTTCTCCAAAAAATCCACTTCACCTACTAATATGTTACTGGCTTCGGCACCGGGTGGTATTTTGCGCATGAAATGCATATTTCCGCGATGATCGCTGATGTCGTTACCGCTACTGTTGCCGCCATGCATTGATAGATTGCTGGGGCTTTTAGTCAAATCCTCTGTTAGGACAGGTAAATTATTGTTTTTATTTCTTTTCTTTAATTTCTCTTCTCCAACAACAATTAGCAAACAAAGAGAAGTAGCAGTACAAAGTCATTATGAAGCCACAAGCGTTAAACGAATAAAAATTTTTTAAAGCAAAATAATAGCAGGGGATGAGGCAGAACCACATGAGATATACACGTAAGTAAACATAAAAAGAAAAAAAAAACAATCAATAAAATAAATTTTGTGTAGCAATACATAAACGCATAAGAAGGTCAATCTGTCATTTTCTCTTTACGGCGAATCACGGAGAATCAGAAACCGGAAATCTGCCAACTATTTGTCGTAAGCCTGCAAGTCGACAATGAAGACCATCTTGATTTGATGACTATACAGATTTTTTGCGTTGCTTTTGGCGTGTTCCTAGGCGGATCCCGGACACTAGCTATAAATTAATCAAAATTTTGCCTTTTCATACCCTACACCACTTGTGGTTCAAGGATGTTTAAAGTTTGTGTGAGAGGGCTTGAGATAGAGCCACATCTTACGATACCGATCGATCCAGCAAATCATTCTGAAGCTTGTCTGTCCATTTGTTCACCTTTCTTTCTCGTTTTGGCGCTTTCAACGCCATTTTTTTGGTTCACAGACGAGCACTATTGCAGATGGTTCGGACACTTCCCATATAACATCTTATTTTGAACGCTCTTTATAGGAATAACTATAAGTGTAGTACTAGTGTAGGATATTTGATGATAGGCAGTAGCCCACTGTATCGTTTTCATTTGGTTTTTTTTTTTTTTTTTTTGTCAAGATTTGCGTTTTTGTCAACTGAACAAATATGTTAGATGGGAAGGCTGTTGCACAGGTTAAATCAACCTCAGTTTACTGCGCACTGTAGCATACTTTTGAATGCTAGATTCAAAATGACAAACTTAGCATAGTTTCAGTGATGAGTTTTAAAGTTTACTAAAAAGTACCATGAAGAGAAAAAGAGGTGACAAGAAGATGAAAGGGAAAGAGATGTATGTATTGTATGAAAGGCTTTTATGAAAGTATTGAAGCATAATGCCAAAGAAAGAAATTTTAGAATACCGTACCATTACCGATTAGTTATATAATTTGTAGGATATTATATCACCTTTTTGTATCATATTGTTCTTCGAATTTTCTTATTAGTTCACGTAAAGGCACACATGCATTTATGAATAATGGAATTGAAAAGTATTTCAACAACAATTGTCTCCACTAACAAATTGCAAAATGTTTTGCAAATATGAACAAACAAGAAAAAAAAAAAAAAAAAAAAAAAAAAAAAAAGAAAATCTTCTGCCACATTCTCTATACAAATTAAAACAATCTGTGAATTCTTTTTGTTTACCATCTGGTACAGCAATTGTTTTGGTAATTTTGGTGCCTGGCACAGTTAAAAAGCGTCCATCATGGCTGCCATCGGCATCAGATTTATTTCCATTGGTGTTGGCAGTCAAGGATAACGGTGAGTTTGTTGTCGTTAAGCCCGGTGATGTTGCATTACTTTGTTCATCCACTGGAATAGTTAGGCTTTGGTTTTTATTCTATGCATTGTTGTTTAGTTGCTTTGCACGCGCATTTGTATATATATATATATATTTAATAAGTTTGTTTTGAAAACTTGAAATTTTTGGCTTTTTGAGTAATTGGATTTATTTGAAAGTTTTCTAACCGTTCTTTTTCTCTATTTTTTTTTTTTTTTCTGTTACAGTTATAATTTTAATAGCCACCACATGCATTGTTAAAATTCATTCCAATTTGTTGTGCAAAAGTTATAAGAAGAAATCGCTTAACTGTATGAGTTTTTTCATGACTATTGCGTTCACATTGAAACTTGTTCAATACTAACAGAGTTCTCTCTACGTTTGCCTAATTTGCTCTAAAGCAGTGAATGCCTTAATTAAGAAATGAAATTATTTGCATAACATTTTATCGATGAATCGCTTTGATTATCTCTATAAGGGGTAAGAAATGTTTAGCTTTTTATTCAAAATGGAAAAGGTTTGTACAATCGGAAGACTATCTATGAACTAAAAGTAAAAGCGGGTCAAATTTCAAATATAGTCAAGTTAACGTTTGACATTGCGGATTTTTCTAACTGGTAGTATGCCAAATATATTATAGGTCTACCTAGAATACATAAATAATATCCTGGTTTCCAAATATGGTCTGGAATGAATTGTTGACTTGAATCAAACCTTTCCGCATGCATCCGATGTTGTCAAAAAATCATTTTACTCTACTCGAACTCACAGACGCAACCCCGTCTGGCTGTCCACTTCAGTTCGATGAAGAGTGATTAAAACAACTTTTGCACAAAAGTTCTCGTCTGGCAAAGAAAATACAATGCTCTCGCATTGCTATAGACAATCAAGTGCAACGATTCGATATGATTACTCAGAAGAAAGGCTAATCAGCAGTCTAGAGCTTTTTTGTAGCACGTTCTCCCTCATATCGCCAATATGACCAGGCAAGCTATTCAAATGGCTGCAAAGTGCTGTCGCTCTCGCTCTCGCTCTCGCCTTATCCTCCTGATTTAGTACCAACGTCTTTCCGCTTTTTTAGATCTCTTTCAAATACTGCGCGCGGAGTCTCAATTCTTATGTAGAATTGAGAACTTGTTTGGATGAAAAGACCGGGTTATATCTACTAGCAATGTACTGATGAAAATCTTGTTGAACGTTGAGAAGAAGTTAAAAACAAGAACGAGGGAATATATTATTGATTAATTATTTATTCATTTTGATTGAAAAATACTCGTTTAAAAAATTTAATAAAAGGGCTTCTAACTTATTTGCCAACCTACTATATTTTTGTACTTTTGTGGCTCACTCGGGAAGCGTTATTTTCATTTGCAAAGAAGGGTTTAGAGGATTATATAAACCTTGGAAACGCCTAGATTTGTTCGTATTTATAAAAATATATACGAGATACATATTTAATATCTTAAGATCATAGAATAGAATGGAAGAAATCAGTTATAAAAATGTTGTAAAAAACGAGTGAACTGAAAGGAAGAAACACTTACACAGTGAAGAAGTGAGAAGAAAACATTTAAAAAGGAATTATTTAATGTGTAAAAAAATTAGATTCGCTTTATGCCGAATCTCGCGCACCCACCACAGCAAGCAAGTACCTGAAATGAATGTATCCGTTATTAACTGTAAAAGCGTCTGTTCGCGACTACTTGAGCTCTTTTTTTGCGCTAAACTTTTAGATGTGAAATATCAAAAGATCTGCGCCGTGCCAATACAATGGATCGATAGACAGACGGACTCAGAGTTCTGAGCTTTTTCATACCCTAAATACTTACTGCTGATTGTAACAAAATTACCATATCTCGATACTACGGTGGTGGGTTTAGGAAAAGATTTCAAAATTTTTATATAACATCGAAAAAAAAATCATTCAAAGAAACAAAGTAAATCGATAGAACGAACAAACGTTTAGAAAGCGATTGATTTCCAGTACTTGAGCGTCTCGGAGAAAGATAAGTGGAGCAAAAAAATTCGTTAAAATCTTAGTGAGTAAAGAAGTATTTAAAAAACGAATAACAATTCTTTGGAGAGATTAGAAAAAAATGAAAAAAAAAAAACGATTTTTTTTTTTTTTGGTTTAAATAAGACCTTTAAGTTTTGCTGCTGAAGCGCCGGGAGAACTACAACTAGCATGACTGGTGTGAGAAGTCGGTGAAGCGCCTGCATGAAACCAAGTGGTTACACCAATTGCACCCAGATGAATGGTGGTAGCAATATGACCGAAATCGGCTAAATTGAATATGAATAAATATGTTTATATATATGCATATATTTATAGAGAGAAATATATATATATATATGTATATAAATATATATATAAAAACAATCAGTACAATAACAGCAATAAATAAATTTAATTATTTAAAATTCATTCAAGTGATAACTAACACTAAAATAATGTCAGCAAAGCCTAGGTAATGAGTAATGAGAAAAATCATTGAAATTTTGTTGAATCACGAGAGTTTTGGCATTAGTCGAACTGATAAGAGAGCTTAAAATTGTATTGATTTTCAATACAATTTCATATATAATTAATTTGTTTGTTGTAAATTTGCAGAAGATTATCATCTATCTACCTGTAGGCACGCTAAGGTAACAGCGATGTTGATCTCTGTTAGAAGCATAGGATTGTGTTGGTGTCAATGTGTGCAAGTGCGAGTTGCTGCCGCCATCTAATCCTGTTGAGGACACATTGACATGCATTGATTGCGTGGAAGCATATTTGCTTGCATAACCACCATAAAGGTCTGTGTAGTGTAAAAATATATGTGTGTGCAAGTGTTTGTTGGTGTTTAAATGTGAAGAAGATTAATGCTTTTCTTTACTTTTCTATTTTCTCTCGTGCATGCACAAGTAAGTAAATCATGAAATCACTTAATAAGGAAACGAAAAGATTGCATAACATGAGCGAGCTTGCAAATTCCATAGTTCATCGAATTTATGTCGAAAGTAGATTCGGTGATTATATGATGCGTTAGTCCGATTTCATAAATTCGAAGAGCTAAGGAATTTAGTCATCTCCCCGCCCGCTGTTATGTCTATCCTCTAGCTTTCCTGTCATAGTTCCTTTAGCTATCGCTATCTCTGTCTTATCTAAAAATCTCTTCCTATCATGACATGTTAATGATAATGATGTTAAAAGAAACACTTGTTACTAACTGAAAAATATTGAAAATTCATTGAATGATTTTTGTTAAATTATATGAATTTTTTTTTCCAAATTTTACTTTTAATAGATATTATCATCACCTACAACATTCACATAAACGTACCATATATCTATGTAGTATGTTAATCAATAAAAACGTATTAACTCACTTTTCGATGAAGAATGATTTCGTCCTATATCGGTTAGCGAGCGTATTATTGGCAATTTGTGTCGTCTGTTGTATTCGTGCTGATGACGATGACGTCTTAATAGAGCATCCTTGACTTTGTCGCGTGACTGCGATGGCAATACGCCAGCGTTTAACATATTCTCACATACTAAATCAGCTATTAATTCTAAATTGTTAGCCTCCATATCCAATATAACTGTGCCATTTAATAATAAACTGCGCAGCTCGAATAACGAATGCAGTGATAAAGTAGCCACATGTGGTTTAGACCAACGATTACCACCCTCTTCGACGTCCTCTTCAAATTTAATCCATCTGGCGGTTTCTTTCCACTCAATTTCATCGCCTTCTTTAACCAAAGTTAAATATTCAGAAAAGAGAGGATGCGAGGTGGTCCCATCATCGCCTTCTTCACCCAAGATAAATTGTACACGCTGAGCAGGTGGCGTAACTGTGTTAATGAGAAGAGATAAATATATGCATACATGTATGTATATATATATATATGTTTATTTTAAATGTATTTTCAAACGAAATTGTTTTGCAATCGTTTTCAGTGAATAAAAACACTATTTATTATTATTATTATAACAACTTGTCGTGTTAAGTGTAAAAATAATTTCACAATAATAAAGAGTATCGTCTTAGACTCAGTGGTCGTAGGTTCAAATCTCAACTGCGGTAGAGTTTTCAATAAAGCTGACACCGCTAGATGCTAGTGCTTTATGACTTTAGTTTTAGAATTTATTTCTCTGGCTAAAAAATTAATAATAATATCAACAAAAAAACTATTTAAGAGGAGTTTCTTTTTTGACTTCGTGCTACAGGAGTATTAGTACAGGCTTGAAGCATATTTTGGATGCAAGCTAAATGGAAAAAACATATACTCGCAATGCTTTCGCCAGGTGAGTGTATTCTCAGCACTGTAAACTTTTACTTTCTTACAACAATTATCAGATCTGTAGTTCGATGGCTTGTCGCATAAACGCACAAAAAAGACCGCACAAAAACAGGTTTGAGTATGTGAGTATTTTCTAAAGCGAACCAAAATAAAAAAATATTATGATGGTTTACAGTGCACTCGTAAATACTCTGCACTACCTCGCACTACGAAATACGAAATAAGTCATTTTTGAAATAAGTCATTTTAGGAGAAATGCTCGAGAAAGTGGTTTGGATTATGTTCAATAGCGTTTATACTTGGGGCAAAATGCATAGGCGTTACAAATTTTTTTACATTACCTTAAAAAATTGCGACATATAAGTTAGACACAAGAGTATAAGACGCGCAGACGGACAGATAAGCTTAGATCGAGACAGAAAGTGATTCTGGGCCGATGGCTAACATAAAAACCGGATCTACGTCAAGTCCTCCTAGGTATTGTGTGCTTTCGCACAAAGTCATTTTACTCTTGTACCGCAAGTGATATAATGTATGTAACAATATGTGCAGCAAGTTTAAGATTTCCATTTTAATTACTTTAATTACGAACGTTTCAACAAACATAGGGAAACTCAAATTGTCTTAATCGTACATGGGTTTTGGAAATTGCATGCCTAAAGTAGCTACACGTGTGAGGCAGAAATCGAATACAAAAACAAGAGAAATGTAGTCCCGCAAGGCTGATTACCCACACTACTTTGTCTAATATAATATTTCAGTTATTCTCGTGGCAGCATACTAAAAATTGCATCTGTTACAAGCGTACCTTTCATGCGAACTCCTTTAAAGATCGCGGCCTAAAAGGCAAACAGAAGTGGTCAAAATTTAGTAAAATTAATTTTTTTAATGTTAATGTTTAAACTTTATGTTATCCTTCATTCATTTGCGTTATAGAGACCTAAAAATTACATATTAAAACTTGCTTACGCTTATCGGAAATGACTTACAAAAAATAGGCATATGAGGTCCAAATTTCATGCAATTAATTTTTATATCAAATTACTATGAACCAATTTCCACTAAAAAATATTAAATACGAGATCGTTTTGCCATGCAAAGACTTGCTTCTTGATGGAGAGGTTACATGAAAGGCGTTTCAAAACAATGGCCCCTTAGGCTTAGATGCCAAAATAATAGCACGTAGCGATTTTTTTCAGGATGTGTTGAAAATTGCAAAATATGTCATGCAACGATTTTATCCAAATAAGTCGTTGTAGGGTAAGTGATCACAAAAGTTGTCAGATTAAATCTAGCTTTAACAGCGTGCATTCTTGAGTCAGGACGGGTCGGGGGTATATAAAATTTCATCGAGATATCTCAAAAATTTGCGATCTGTAGATTCCATACAAGACTGTCTATATACCACACAGTAATAGATAATCTCGGTTTCAAGTTTTGTACTTTTTATGCCCTAAGCTGTTTGTGATACACTGTATGTATTATCTTTGTGCGAATATATATAAGAGGTAGAAGGACTTAAGATAAAGCAATCAATTGAGAATCATTTCGGAATCGATTAAAGTTTGTGAGTCCCTTTGTCCGTCTCAGGTCGTTCCATCTATTTTCCTGTTTAACCTATAGGTAGCAATATTTCAAATATTCTAACAAAGTATGATATTTTAGCTCGAGTAGGAATGCTGCTGAAGATGGACTAATTCGGATTATTTTTACGACCACTTTACATATAAGATCTCATTTTGAAGAGGTCAGGAAAATTCGCAATTTTTACAATTTCGCGAAAAAATCATTTGAAATTAGCAATATATATATATTGCTATTAAATTGGCAAAAATAAATATATATGTGTATATATACATAAATGTATATATACATGCAAGTTTGAAAGCCTTAAAGGGACTTCTTTAGATGGTAAAAAGGACAAATTTTTCTCAAAATTGCTCCATAAGAGTAATTTGACATGGCATCAAATTTGGATTACATGGATAAATTGTGTGGAACCCACTCACAATAAGGATATTCTCTGCCTTTACTTGGCGGCAAAGCCTACCTTTTAGAATTTCATGACGGAAATAGGGGACATCTTTGAAAGAAACTTACTTTTACTAAAATCGATTCAGATTTTGTGCTTTTCGATGGAAAGTAAGCCGTTACACGAGAAAATAATTCAAGTTTTGGTATCACGTAAATAAATGAGAAATTAATTTACACGAAGAAGCGTAAGGTATTTAATAGTCGGCCTTGCTGAATTATATCTCTTAAGAGCCGTAGAGTTTTCAATAAAGCCGATAGACTAGTGCTTTAAGAGTTTAGTCTTTGAGTTTATTATTGGTCTGGTTAAACTAATTATAATGATAGCAATAATAATGATAATCCTTTTTCTTACGCAAGTTGAATCGTAACAACGAAATTAATTTGATAATTAGCTTATATGGTAGTTGTTTTTTAATGACAAAATACATTGTATGCTAGAAATGTTTAAATTTAAGAAATTTGTTTTTACCGTAAAAAAATGTAAATTATCATGAATTCGTGGAAATAAATAAACGTAAACGTAAATTGTAGGCGTCTCAGTTGGATAAACACGATTAGTTTTACAGCAATTTTAGCATTGACTTTGAAATATACCTATGAGGGTATTTTCAATGAATGCTTGCAGTAAGTTGAAGCTATTGCTGATGCATAATATATTAGGTTGCCTGAAGTGTTTCAAGCGTTTTCTTGTTAAAGGCGTCCCACGCTTAACGCTCGCCAACCTGCAGTTATTCATATAAGAACATTTTAAAATAAAGCGTTATATCGATCGAAAAACTGATCTGATACGAACTATTCGCAATTGCTTTCGTCCTTGGGACAAATTTCATCGAATTGCGACATATTGGGAGAGAACACGAAAATAAGACAGACAGGCGGAAGGAAGGACGGACGGACAAGCTTCAGAATCAAGTTCTGAACCGATCGGTATAACAAAATGTGAGTCTATTCTAATTCCATCTGGGTGTTGTAAGAATCCGTACAAAATTAATACGCGATTGTGCCACAAGTGGTGCAGGGTATAACAAGTAAGACATTTATGTTCAACCTCGGGTGAACCCTTTATCTTCAATTTAAAAAAAAAAATGGGACTTCGATAAGCAGGCGTGGCCTTCTTCATTTTTCTAGATACAATGAGTGCTGAGTTGCATCGTTATATCTGTATGGGTACAAGTGATTCGGTTATAACGGAGTATAATTTTCTCACCTGCTTCCAATAATAATATATTTATGCTAAAAATTATTTTTAGACGACACAGCATTTACAAGTTTTAGATTTGGAATTATCTTAAAAGCCATTGGAGAATTCTTTCGAAATTTGATCAGTGATCTTAAAGAAAGTGTTCTTATTGAGGTTTTAGTCTTAATAGTTGAGGCTGTAAGAGTTTTATCAATAATTGACAAAAAAGACGGACAGACAGATTGAAATGTTATATTTTAAGAAAGAAATCTTCCACGCCTACTTTTTCCACTAAAAGAAACTAAAACGCCACCAACTTAAGTATGGGAAAACGGGAAAACATGATTTCTTTTGAATCTTCAAAGCAATATGAAAGAACCTACCACTTAGCACAAAACCGTATAGAGACAAAATCCTTAAAGATAAGATGGGAAAAATTTCTTCCAAAGCACTCGAAATAACGTATTTCGTAAAATGCTAGAAACTCAAAATACAACTCGAGCTTATTTGCATTTTAAAACAAACTCAAAGACTTTGTTTCTCGTTGAAGAGATTCAAAGAAAAAGGGATTATGTTCCCTTACTTAATGAATGAGGGAAAAGAAAGGCAATTTAAGTTTTCCAAGTAATAAACATTAAAACGGGGGGAAAAGAAACGTAATTTGAGTTTTCCAAATAATAAATCTTTTAATATAATCCCACGGTCTGGAAATTCTGCTTAATCACTCACTTCATGGAATTCCTTCAATTTTCATAACTGAAGCTAGGTCTATACTTGAAGCTATGACCAAAGTCAAAAACGTTACTGTCAACGATAGTCTGTCTGCTTTAAAAACTATCCGGCAACTCTCAATTTCTAGCCGGAGTATAGTTAACACATTAACGAATATCAAGACAATATGCGGACATAGAATTAAAAAAACACTTCGAGCGCCTGGTCGTATCGGGTGGTTGGGAAATGAGCAAGCGGATCGAGCAGCGAAATCTACCGCTTGTCCATTTCTAATAATGGACGATATCATGGGAAAGTTGAACCATCAAAGACACATTTGGACAGAAAGTTAAAGAGAAAATGATGGAAGCAAATATACAATACTATCATCAGCACTACTCCTCTGTTAACCCTTAGCTATATACCCAATCTTATATCCAAAAAAATATTGACAAAATCAAGATGAAGCCATTTGCGAGAATTCGCCTTAGCCATACAATTGCAACACACCAATTGATCCTAAAAGAGCCCTCCTCGCCAATCTGCAATTTTATCCAAATTCTTACAATAAAACATTTTCTCTGTGATTGCTTAAACTTTTTCTTTATAGAAGAAGAATCGCGTCTGCAATAACTAATCCTGAAATTAGCTACGGAATACCTATTTAATATATCACTTTATTAAAGCTACCACAAGGGTCAATACCTAGTTATACCCAATACCACTTTTGGTACTAGATATAGTAACTTTGTGCTGACGTATGTAAGACCCAGAAGGGCTTAAGATAGATTCACTTTTTATTATAATAATCGATTTGGAATTTAGAATTGAAGCTGGTACGAAAAATTTGCTTCGGCTCGGTGCATTTTTTAAAGCGCCTTTCATATAACCGCTCCTAGAAAACGGTAATCTTTATATGATAAAAGGGTCTAATTTTCAATATTTCTTGGTGAAAATTGGTTCACAATACTAAATTGGGAAAGAAATCAACCTTATCAGATTTGGTCCACATAGGTTTATTTTTACGGATATAAGGATTCTCAGGAAATGTAAACGTCGATATGCCAGAAAGGCCTAATTGTTTATGTTTTATGACGAAAATTTTTTCATGACATTCAAAACAAAGTGGACTGAATTTGAACGATATGAAGCTATTTCTTGGACCCCACTATATATAACGTTTGTCACGAGTAGCAAGTCCGTAAGAGAAAGTTTTACTTTTTACTATTGTATAATTTGAGAATTGATGCTTGATAGCAATTTATCACGAAAATTAGCGGAAGGAAATTTGGATCACTTAGATCAATTTTTTAGGGCCTGATATATATCATGAAAAGCAAGCTCTTGTATGGAGAGGAAGTATTATTTTCTAGTTTTTATAACAGAAACTGAAAAATACTACAATTTTTAGAAAGTAAATTAAGTAATTAAGTTTGCTGAATTTGGACCACGCCCTTTGATGTTTTGGGCACCCTTCAATATGTGGACTTTCCTGAGAAGTACGCCTTTGAAGGAAAGTAATCTTTAGGTTATGATTAACAAAACAAGTGAATAACTGTAGTAGGCAAAGTGGTTTAGGGTGACTAATGGTCAGCCTTGCCCGACTACAATGTTCTTTTTTTTTTTTCTCTCCTAAAATAAACAGCCTAAACTGCTAATATTGAAGAAGAATTTATTTCATTAACCTAAAAATTGCATATGTAATAATTATAATAAGAATTTTCACATCCTTTCAAACTTTATGTCACAGGTAAGAGGAATTTTTTTTTTTTATTATTTGAACTCTCTAGGCTCAGTTCCAGTTAGACAAGAACAAAATAAGTATTGAGATGGAATCAATGGATCAATGGGAAATATATTAGGTTTTCAGAGAATGCGAAGACCTCGTAGGCATACCTATATCTACTTGTTGCACATGCACATGACAAAATTAATGTACTTCTTGATTGGTGGAATATAATGTAAGGAGATTGAGTCATGCCGAAAGTTAATTGTTGCTTTCATTAGTTGTAAGACTGAATTTCCTTATTATCTATCGCATGTTGTCTAACAATTTGCACAATTTAAAATGAAGACGCGCGCGCTTTTGTATTTTTTATTTTTATTATAATTTTGTTGTATAATTTTCCAACTGATTATCATTGAAGCTTAATCTGTGGGAATCAATTGTAAAGCAGAGATTTTCGTTTTTTGCTTTCTGTTGCTTCTTTTTTTTTTTTTGTAAAGTTAATTTGTTTTAGAGACATTTGTGTCATGTCACATTTCCTAGACTATTAAGGGTAGACTAAGTTCTAGACTGACACATATTACGTGTTCGCATTCAGCATATTTTAATCGTTCTTTACTTGTAGCAGTTCGTTTGAAAGTTTATAAATATGAATCCTTTCAACGATTAGTCTTTTATTTAACTTTTTTTAACATGTTTACCTGGACGTTCTATTTCGGTTTGTTTATCGTCGCCACCGCCTTCACCTTTACCGTGATGGTGTTTACGCTGACGTCTTTGTGAATGACGACGGCCGCCAGGCACGTGTACACCTACATAAACAGTATGTGCACGATGTCCTAAAATAAACAAATATTCGTAAATGATTTATTTATTAAAATAGCACTGATTAAGTGAATGAAATATTCATTTAAAAAAATAACAACATGACAACAATTTTATTCAGTTTTAAGCGAAACACTAGATCAAGAGGAGCAAGAAATTTGTGGCGTAGTAAACACGCTTACCTTACATCGCCATATATGTCCTAATGGCCAGAAATTTGTCTTAAGGCTGCTCTGTGTGCGTCCCTGCTTATTGGGTGGGGATCTGTCTGAAGATTGGAAATATGTTTTAGTGGTCTGTCCAGAAAATTTTCATGCAGAAATTTAGATTTTGATCTGCTTCTGACCCTCTATAGTACAGAAACGGTAGTTGCCTTAAAGGCGTTTGGTTCTTTTGTTTTCCTCAAGCGGTATGTTTTATCCGCATTATTTTTTTGTGTGGTGAAGGGAGGGGTTGGGGGTCTGTTACATGGGGCTCTTAAGTCTTTTCAGATCTTTCCCTTCTTGTGCTATAGTAGGGCAATTGAAAACCGTTTCGACTTCTTTCTACATTGCTGTTGTCGTGTAAACTCGGTTTCAAGCTTTGCTAACTTTTTCGTCTGATCCCAAGACATCCTGTCCCTAACAAAACGAAAGAAGTCGCGATAAACCCCGTGCGCCCAGTCAAAATACAATGTCCATGTGCGTTGTGTTGACTGGTTCCATATTTCTGCAGTCTCTATCCCACATCGAGTTTCAGTTTGTATGGCACCAGACGCAAAGATTATACTTCTTGCAGCATTTTTGTCTCCTTTATATCTGGAACCGCGGGGATGAGAAGGAAGGGAAATGGCAGCGGGAAAGGTGCAGGAGTTTCGTGGTGGCTTCGAAGATCGTGGGAACATTACATTTTTGCCAGAGGTCACGCCAAGCGATACATATGTTGTTATTCTGAAACTGCACGGTAGCTTCCCTTCATTCCTTGCGTCAGTGACAAAGCATCCACACCTTACGAATTTTTTTGCAAGCCTATGAAGCTTCATCGCCTTGCTTGGAGCGATGTTACAAAGTGCAGCGAAAGTTTTCTTAGGTTCTGTTTTTTTTTTAAAAACGTCAACTGAATTAACAATTGTCACAGTGCTTTTTTCAATATGTATAGATCATCACTTTTTGCATATAGATAACATGGCTTATCCGATCTATTTTTTAGGCAAAAGGGCGCAAAATTTTCCCTAGATCTAATAATCTGATAAACTAATTTATATAATATAAGCCTAACTCTCTTTTTACACGATTATTTTTAAACCCGAATTAAAAAGAGAAAAAAATCTCTTTTTACACGTGTTGTTTTGTTTTAACACGGTTTTCAATATTGATGAATTTTGTTAATAACTTTTTTGAAGAATTTTTTTTAATGAAGTTTTTTCAAGAATTTCTTGATGAATTTTTTTAACGAGTATTTTATTTCTGTATTTGTTATAAATTTTTTCATTCTCACTCCTCATAAATATGCATTGTAACTTTGCTTTATATTTTTCACAATTCAGTTAGATTATGTTGATTATGTGCGTAAATGAGCGGGAGTCCCCTAATTACGTATAGAATAAAGACGTAATATATTTTTTACGCAATTTATTTTGCTTTTTCAAAATGTAACTTGTTGTTTATAATTTATTTAATGACGCACAAAATAAATTCTTAAATGAATTCGAACAAGCTTTTTTTAATATTGTTTACTATGCTTTTCAGTTGCTTTTTTGTTATCTGCTACCAATCCGCTATTTTCCTATTTAGCCGATATCTTTTTTTCTGCGAATGTTTTGGGAAAATATCTATCGTGTGAAAAAGGAATTAAGCGTGTTATACAGTATATCCTTCGGATATGAAAATTGGCTATTCCTTGCTTTCATTACATTCGTTTAGCACGAGCTAATGTTATTCAATAGGTCAATATTTTCTAAATAAAGTGCTGTTGTCGTTAAGAAAGGTTTTGTTTCATTGCAATGGCATAAATACACTATGAAAACCTTCAGTCCGCCAAATTGTTAGCAAGGAAAATTATTTGAGCTTTTTGCGGATCGTTTGCGTCAACTCTACATAGCAGAGTTAAGGGGATGCAATTAATGAATTTCGCATTGCATTATGCAATATATATATATATATATATATATCCTTCAGCGACATCGTTTTGGTTCGATTGAATGGAAAGGCATATTCTTCGAGATGGAAGAAGAAGACGATGTTGCTGATTAAATGCTGAAGATATTGCCATGATATGTGCCATTGATTTGGGTTACAATGCTACCCAGTTAAGGAAGTTTCAATGAAAACTTTCATTCTCATTGTTATATGATATCATAAAAATATTTCACTTCGATTGGTTAGCAATGAATATTTTTCGATATTCGAAGAAATTAAACAATTTTTATTACTAATCCATAGATATGAAATGTTTTTATGACAACATGTCGTAATGCAGTCAGAAGTTGGTAAGACTTTAATTTAAATATCTATCTACAAAGACAAGCTTGCAGGTTGACAAGTGTGTATAACCCCCCTACAAGGCATACATATAAATATTTCTGTATTTAGTTTGTGTGGAACATTGAAGCGACAAAATGGAACTATGAGAATTTTTCCTGTTTAAACGCAATTTCGAAAAAAAATTCATTCCTGAAGGCTATCGAATGGTATTCAGAAATAATATATATCTCTTTTATTATCAAAATTTATCTGTGTGGCTAAATTATCTTTCGAATGAGGGGAATATACAGCATTACGATCTTTCAAATCATACAGAAGTATGTACGCAGTGCCTCAGAGAGTGAATAGCAACACTACTTGAACAAGTAAAGAAAAAAAACGGGGGGAACCTTTATAAAAATATTTCGCAGTAGTTAAAAACTAGAATGGAAGTGTCCATACCGGGTAGCGAGCGATTCATTGCGTTACGATAGCTTTAGCTCAGTGGTAAAGCGTCTTACTCCACAGAATTTGTTAGTAGATGACATAGCTGCCAGTAAAAATGAGGCATAAGTAAGACTTAAGCGATTGAACTTGAGAGCGTTGCCTTAAGAGAAGTCTTCGATATCCAATATCTGAAGGTAACATATTAAGATCGCAGCTTACTTTGTTAGTCATGGATACGTCAGTTGCTTATTGGGAAATATTTTTGTCAAGTTTGAGTTCAATATCTCTTTTAGGTCGTGTATAGAGAAACGTAAGAGGATCACCATCGATTATCCAAAGAATTACATACATATGTATAAGAAGTATTATTCGCCTGAGGAGCAAAGCAGGCAAGAACCGCGACCATGAAACCAATGTACGCGGGTTCAAATCTCAACGCGGTAGAGTTTTCTTTAGTCGTATTTGGCTCTCGAGTGACTTCTCAGTTGCTAAAAGCATAACACTTATCGCTTGGGCACACACCCTACTTCTTTCTCATGCTTCCCTTTTTTGACCATGTCAGGAATAGGGGACTGAGTGATTGGTCATATAAAATATATATATAGAAATGTAATAGGATCAACATTCATTGTCTCTCATAGCCATAGTAAATACTTCCACTTAATGTCGGATTAATATCAACTGGCGATTGTGAGTTAACGTTTTCTTACATATTGTGAGTATCAATGGCAGGGGGCGCGAAGATGGCACTGGCCAAGTCAGCTTATAATTGTCTGTTGATCGAAATAAATGCGTCTATGACAAGAGATAATGAATAATTTTCAGTTAAAAGCGATCGAGAAATTTCCATTTGTGTGAGAATGAATTTTACATATCTAAGAATCTAATCTGCGAGATTACTTTCAAAATTATGAATATCTGTCGTAATTATTTGCAAGCGGGCTAAGGTACTTATCATGAGAGCATTGTATTGCGTAGTAGACACACTCTATATAGAGTGTGTGAGACAAACTGGCGTCTCGTATATATATAATACTTTTATTACTTGTAACAAAGAAAACTTTACAATCTCCAATAGTTATAAATATATGTATATATAGATGTATTTTCTCATTACTATATAATAAAATAAACTAATAAAAATTATGTCTGCGGAATAGGTTAAATTCTACAATAAATTCTTGCTTTTTAGAAAGTTAAATAAATTATAAATGATTCAGTGAATGTAAATTTTATTCTGTGTATCCCACCCAGTCTGGCTTCTTATGGCTGGGAAACTAAACTTAATTAAAAAGACACATAAATTATTAAAGGTTCCTTTTAAGAAAATAGAAAGAAAACAAAGTGAATTATATACACCGGACAAAGTTAATTCAGTAGTTTCTGACAACATTGAACCTATGTGTTTACAATGCTTATGTATAAGTATAGCAAATGGGACAAACGACTGGTACATGTTCATTATGGTATGCAGGAAATCGACGGTATTGACCGTTAGAATTATTAGTAAAAAAAAAAACTTATTACGTGTGAACTATAAAGGATTTTCAAAAGAGCACGTATCTAAGGCACTGATTCTTCTGGTTACCGTTTATTTGACTTGATGAGTCAAAGTCTCTTTAAGCAGCACTTCCAAGCTTATGATAATACAGAACAACTAAGAAAATTACATTCGATCGTGACCGAATTTTTTATACCCATCACTGACTAAAAAAAGGGAAAACAACTAGACTTTCATATTCTGTAAAATTAAATGGAGGCAGAAAACGCAGAAAGCCGAGGTGTTTGCAGTTTTGATTATGCAGATCTGTGGGCGTTGTGGGCGTGTTCTTCAAAAACTTTCGGTCTTCCTTGAAATCGTTTTTACAGTAGACGCCTTCATTTCTGCGACCGGGAAAATATTTACCACGGATGCTATGTAGACGGATAGATGGATAGACGAGCGGACGAAAATGCTTAGGTGCGTTCCGAAATTGAGGCCGCCCAAGAATTTATGCACTTTATGGGGTTTTTGTGTATTGAAAAAATATTACATTTTGATATACTATAATATTGAGTGGGCGTGGCTGATTATTTCCATTTTTTTAGAGGTACTACTGCATCGCCCATGCAATATATGTTGAAATTTGTGAATTTATCTGCTATAGTTTACAAATAACGAGTAAAAACCTTCACTCTGCTCTTAAGAAGCAGAGGTGCCCTCACTTCACATAGCACGGTAAACGTGCCCCTTTGATTGATTTCAATACCGACTAGCATGTAAGAACTTGCAACTTTTCTGCTAAATTTGATGTCGATAGTTTGATCTTTGCGACCATAAGAATGTTTACCAAAGACAATACACAGCCGGACAGATGGACATAATACTGCTGGTTTTCTGGGCGTTGCAAACGTTTTACCCAAATGAATATATACCCTCATCCCTCATCGGTGATGGGCATAAAAAATGGGTGGGTTTGTTTCGAGTCTTCCTGTATGTCCACTTGCTTCTGCACACACTTCATACAAGACGTACCGCAAGCCGTGTGAGGTAGAAAGGGGGCACTCTTAATACTTATTGCAATAAGTCTGCTTTCAGTTTTTCTAGCGTTCTGGAGCAAATAGCTTTGCGTCAATACGAAACTTATTTCCAAGTATCAATGTTGAATCACAGAACAAAAGTCTGTTACTCTCATTAGAATACATTTTATAACGGGTTTTCGTGACAACAATTTATCAAACACGTAATAAGTAGTAAATATGCAGTTCTTTCAAAGTCTAATTAACTGCGTTTAATTATAAAGTATATAAATGCATACCTAGCAGCAGCGACACACAAAACAGCGCAACACAACTGTAGACATTGAAATTTATTGTTCGAATAATGTCTTTTAAATTGAATTTTAATTGCAAACATATTTTTTTTTTGTTTTTTCACTTTTTTATTTACTATTAGTTTCTGTTTTTTTATTTCGAATTTATTGCCAGAGTGAGTTTACAGAAAAATTTCTTATCGAATTGCAGAGATATGTCAACACTTAAAACAGGTGTAAATCCAGTATTTCTATACATTCTACATCGAGCGATGGGGGTGTCATAGACTTATAATTAGAGTTGTATGACAATGCATCGGACATGCTATCCTTGACAAGTGCGAGATTTTTAAATCGTACGAGTTAAATTCATCGGCAGAAACTAACCTAAAAACCGAATAGAAGACTGAATGTGAATTTGTGAGAAATGCTGTATGTGTGCTACAATTTTCAATCTAGATTTTTAAAAAATTAAAGAAATTCATTTTTTTTTGCTTTTTTTATGCATATGTTCGAAGTCGAGAATCGAGGGTCGGCGATATCATAGACGAATCAAACTTCCTTATTGATTAGCAATAAAAACCTGTTCAAAGTCAGTCATTTGTGTAAACAAAAGCGCATATTGTTATATGCTAGTATCATGACATATACATATATACAATTATGTTATTATTAACAATGATTTATTTAATATGTAGTATTTAGTCAGACGATCAGTGAAAATTGATAAAAACAATATAATAACCTTTTATTATTTAAATTAAAATTTACCTTCAAAATCATTTTCTGTAAATTGTTGAGTAAAATCTTGTTCACCGATTCGAGGGTCTTTCGGTGCCTCATCATCATTACCAATACTATGCATGGTCCAAGGTCTGAAAAATCCCAAGAAAGCAAAAACAATTATTTAATATTATTTTATTTATTTTAATTTCAGAATACATAGATGAACAGGGTATATCGGTATATGTCCAAGTTCTCACATATACATTGAAAGTTTAAAAAAAAGTAAGAAACTTATATCTGGCGGACGCTGGATGTTGTATATACATCTAACATGCTTCAAGGTCTTTCACGAATTTGGGACTTCCTCAATGCCTACCCGCCAGACCAGACCAAAGGAAAGGCATAGCTAGATCGATTCAGAATTTCATGGTGATCAAAAATATATACACTTTGTAGGTTCTCCGAAACTTTCTTTTAGGCGTTGCAAACATTATAGCAAAATGCCTTACTGCAGCGACATAAAAAGAAATCATACATCGAACATATTGGTGTCCAAATGTTGCTTGTTACACCCTACATCCCCTGTAATAGATGGGATATTGAGGTAACCCGCAGAAGGACTTTAGGTACTGCCGCCATTTATTATACCGATCTATTCAGGAAAGGATTCTCCATCGATCTAAGCTTGTCTGTCCGTCTGTCCGTCTGAAGTTTGTCCATGTATTTTCATGTTCAACTTACTGCTTGCAATTTTTAAAATATTTAAAAAAAATTGGGTGCATCGACGTGCTGTGATCCAAGGATGAACGTCATTGAAAATGATTGTGATCGGCTCACATTTTCGACCACTCACCAAAACACAAGTTTTCAAAATTTTTCGATTATAAACGTTTAGTAATACTATTTAGCGATTTTAATTTGTTATGAAGAATTTGATCCGGGTATAGCAATTTATTGAATCCTTCTCATATAACCGTTTCTACTAAAAGGGAATTTTTATATGGTAAAATGGTCTTATTTTTAATTTAATATTTTATGGTGAAAATAGGTTTATAACAGTAAATTGATAAAGAAATCAACCTTACCGAATTTGGATCATGTAGGTCTATTTTTTTGGATACCAATGGAAAAAAACACCTAACTTTTATTGTTTCGTGATGAAAATTTGTTCATGACATAAAAATTAAGTGCGCCACATTTGAACCACATGCGTCTATTTCTTGAACCCCGTTACATATAACAACGTTAATAGTCAGCTCTTCAAAAAAAAGGTGCAATTTTTTTAATATTGTATGATGAAAATTGCCCCATAGTAGCAATTAAGGAAAAAAATTAACAATAGGGATAGGGAATTTGGATTATATAGGTCTGTTTTTGAGATTCTAAAATGTATGGGCTTTGTTGTGAAAAGCAAGCCCTTATATGGAAAGAAAGTGTAACTTCCACTTTTTTATGAAGGAAACTGAAGAATAATAACATTCTTAAAAAAGCAAAATAAGTTTGGTAAATTCAGATCACATCATGTGATGTTTTGGGCATTCTCCAATAAGCGGACGTCCATGGAAGATATGCCTTTGCATGAAAATAATGCGGAATATTTGGTGCATTTTTACCAAAATGAGTAAATAAATATACAACACGAAGTGTAGGGTGTAGGTTATCCATTGGTCGGCCGTGCCCAACTACAATGTTTTCACTTGTTCATTTATAGTAAATATGTTTCAAAACTAAAGAAAATACGTTTTATGGTTAAAACTTCTGTTTATTATCTGTTTATTATCATTATTGTTCTCATTAGTTTTTATCTCAATACGATTAGTTATAATCAGAGACATTGAAGATTGAATTTTATTCACAAATTCATTCATTGGATCCGTCGTCATGCAAATCTATATTTAAAAGTAATTAACACTAATTTTATTACTATTAAGCTCAATATTTCTTACATAACGCGCTATAAGGTGGTACTATACAGTCATAAGCTTTGTAAGACTAATAATTATTCGTTGGCTTAGCTTTATGACAGCAGCGCAAGTACATACGAAATGTCATTGCCGACAAGTGACTTCGCAAATCCAATATTGTATCCTTGGAGTAAAAGTAGAAAGATTTTTGTTCAATTTATTTGGATCTGGAAATGAAACCTAATGAGAAAAAAAAAACCTAAACTCTATTTTATTATGCCCCTTCTCTCTGCTTCCCTTCTCTATTCGAGCGATGGACAATACTTTCAATAAAACATCACTAGCACTTTTTCTGTAATACGCGTTTAATGTCATTGGCAGACTTAATCCTATCCCTAGCAGCTGCTGGAGATTCAAAAACTAATTAATTTCTATTTTTATAAAAAAAAATCCGACTAATTCTTTGACAAGTGGTGAAATTTTCAACTTCAACGATGATTGCTTTTATGTTTGGCTAATTTTTGTGGGTGATTTCAAGGTCAAGCGTTATTTTAGATATTCCGATGACATTCAGAGTATATAAAGAACGTCAATGTTCGGTTTTTGCTAAATCACGTGTAGCGGCTGCAAACGGTGTGTGCACAACGGTACCTCATCGACATCGTTCCAATCGATTTATAACCGATTAAGCATTATTTTATGCTTAACACTGCACAAAGGATTTAAATTTTATTGTGTAATGATGACCTTCATCTTGCGACATTATTGAAGGGCTTTGCGTTATTTGAATAAGTTAAAAGAATTGAATGAATGAAGCAAACAAGCAGTCATACAAACTATGACAAGTTACGTCATTGCGTTTGAAGTGAAAATGTGTTTCAGAGTCTATGCCGAAAGTCTGGCCGTTAGGCATTGTTTGCATCAAAGTTTATAGAATTCTGTTTTTATACCCTACATCACTTTAGATAGAAGGGTATGTTAAGCACATACAATACCTAAGAGAATTTGCGATTTATCCGCATTCTATTATACGGATCGATTCAGAATTCATTTTGGAGCTTGTCTGTCCATCCGACTGCATTGTACTCTTGCGTGGAGCCTTCAACGCGCTATTCTTGAGATATTTCGATGAAATTTGGTACATGAAAATCTTTTGGCCCAAGAACGAAGGCTATTGAAAATTTTTCCGATTGGAACATTTCTTCGACCACTTCGCCTTAAGAAGCTTTATTTTGAAAAGTCGTTATATAAACAACTTTGGCATGGTTTAGGGTATTTGATGATGGGCTTTGCCTCATTGTAATGCGTTTACTTGTTTTAAATGTAAATTTAGATTTAAGTAAGCGGATATATGGAAAGAGACAATTATGATATCACCAATAATTGCTTGTTTTTAAGTTTACAATTTATTAAATGACAGTATTAGTTAACTTCTATTCTTTACTCGTAGTTCTATAAATTTTTATTTAAAATAATTACTTCCTCATGTTGTTGCAATTAATGAAAAACACAAAAAATTCTTAAAATTATACAATAGAAATTTGCATACAATATTATCGGACAAAACAAAAAATAAAAAAAAAAAACAAAAACAGGAAAATTTTTAACAATTTTTTCGTAATTCAGGAGGGATGAAAACGATTATTTAAAATCTATTTAAAATGAGATCCGAAATTAATTCAATTTAAATTTTAACATCAATCATACCGTGTGCCGTACATGTTTAATGTAAAGAATATTTACGAGAGTTGAGCGAACCTGTTGTCATCATTGTAATTACAATACTCGTGATTATTGTTATTTAAAAACATCTAAGTGTTGCCGGTAATTACAAACTACGAGACATGCACTCAGTTAATGGAGAATTAAAGTGTATAAAATTAGCATAAAGATTAGATGTAAGTAATAAACATGCATATGAGTTGCATAAAATATATGATTAGAGAAAGGAATTGATTAAACAACAGCAGCGTTTGCAGAAAAAACTTGTACTTGTAAAACTAGGTTATACTATGTCAAATTATAAAAACTTGATCATGCGATATGTGTTAGCACTACTTGCATATAAACTGTCTCTCCTGTATACCCCTTAATGCATTAATGGGTAAGAGTTATCAATATATTAAAATGGAAAAGTTATTCCATAAGCAATGTTTAGACTTTTATTATATTTCAAATTTCAAAATCCTTTCTAATTGATATTGGAACGAGTCAACGGATCGACTTACTTACTATATGCCAGAAGAAAGAGTTTAAGGTTAAAGTAAATTCTCTAAATGGAGTTATTGGGCTTAAGCTGAAAGACGGGGAAGGAAATTCTCCTCTTCATGTTGACGGTTTATGGAATCTGTTATGTGTATTTTTGCATATTCTTGGTACATATATGACAAAATTTAATATACCCGTTTAAGTTAAATGCAAATAGGATATGAAATATAAACAAAAAAAGTTAACATTAGTTTGTTTCAAAATCGTTGAGCTCTCTGCCCTTAATGGTGAAAATATATTTACTATCTCGTTCGGCCGCTTCTTGTCCGTTTTCATCATAATTGAAGATTTTCCATTTCGCCTGATTTGACGTCGTACAGGCTTTAAGTTTAAACCGTTCAGCAATTTTTGAAATAAAAACATACTCCAGCAATAGCATACCCGCAGTACTTATTCAGTTCTCTCAACACCTAATGGATTGCTATGCATGCCACACTAATGTGGGACGACTGTCCTTCCTCCTGGCAGGCTTTACTATATAGGCAGAAACGCCATAACTATCAGCAGCACAGACATATGTCTATCGTGCTACCTGACGCTCTACAGTACTCTACAGTAATATGCTATTCTGAGATGATACTCGTTGCCCTGGAAAACTTCATTGTGGATAGAAACGCTGGAATTTGCCGACAGCATAGATACACAGCTATCATGTTGTCTGGCAGTAGTCTACAATAATGAGGTGATCTAAGATGGCTCTCTTTATCCTGGTAAACTTCAACAGTGGTGGAACCGTCGAAAGCACAGAGAAAGATTTACCCTGCTGCTTGACTTCAATCTACAGTAATGAGCTATTCGAAGATGACTCCCTTTGTCCTGGCGCACTTCAACGTCCACAGACATGCGTTAGTCTAGAGTAATGCGTTATTCTATTCACTTTATATATATTTCATCTATCAAGGTGGTAGTATAACCATTTACGCTCGCATAAGTGATAAGTTGCTTTAGAATTTTCTTCAGTTCGCTATGTCTTAATA